AGCCCAGATTGTGCCGTCCCTCTCCAGCCTAGGCAACCTAGCGAGACTCTGTCTCAAAAACAACAACAACAAAACTTCTAGTAGAGAAATAAAGGAATTAGAAGCATCGTTCTAAGTGGGAAGTACAAAACTGAGACAAAGAAAAATGAATGCACATTAGACAGAGGGAGCCGTTAGCTTTCTTGCTTGTGGACTAGGCTGTGGTTAAACAGCATCCTTATCAGACAGCACCCCAGGACTTCCGGCAGCTCAGCACCCCAGGACTTCCGGCAGCCGAACCACCTCCCAAACACAGCACTGCCTGGGCCTGGGAAAGATGCCCAAGCCTGTAGCACTGCCACCTGCAATCCAGGTGAGGCTGACAGGGCTTTTCTGTACGTCTGCTGGCCTCTGATCAGTTCTCCTCATTCCCAAAGCCACGATCAGCCCTGAGATTTCAAGGGAAAGAGGGTAGGTGAGGGTGGTGGGCAGCTGGCAGGCCAGGCTGGGAAGGAAGCAGGGTAGGCTGTAGGCTGAGTCCTTCCAGAGCCCCCCTCCCCAGCAGAGGGATGTGCCCTCCTCCAGGGCCCTCTCAGGTGCTGGCAGGTGAGGACAGGGGACTAGGGACCCCATTTGCCATCACAGACAGTACGTCTTACATTAGAACAATTACTGTGTTTTGACCAGGCACGGTGGCTCAAACCTGTAATCCCACAACTCCAGGAGGCCATGGCAGGGGGACTGCTTGAGCTCAAGAGTTCAAGACCAACCTGGGCAACACAGTGAGACCTCATCTCTAAAAATAAAGTGAAATAAAAATCACCTGGGTGTGGTGGCTCATGTCTGCAATCCCAGCTCTCTGGGAGGCCAAGACAGGAGAATTGCTTGAACCTGGGAGGTGGAGGCTGCAGTTAGCCAGTTAGCCCAGGCCACTGCACTCCAGCCTGGGTGACAGACTATCTCAAAATGTGTGTGTGTGTGTGTGTGTGTGTGTTTAATACATTTTCTTTCATGAAAAAAAATCCAAAACATATGTTTTATTTTAATAAAAGAGACAAGTATTTCTGGAAAATCTTTTAGCACTACTTATTAAAACAATTTGTTACAGCTGGGTGCAGTGGTTCATGCCTGTAATCTCAACATTTTGGGAGGCCAAGGTGGGCAGATCACTTGAGCCCAGGAGTTCGAGACCAGCCTGGGCAACATAGTGAGACTTCATCTCTACAAAAAAAAAAAAGAACAAAATTATCTGGGTATAGTGGCATGTGCCTATAGTTCCCACTGCTTGGGAGGCTGAGGCAGGAGGACCCTTTGAGCCTGGGAGGTCAGGGAGCAGTAAGCTGAGCTCACGCCACTGCACTCCAACCTGGGAGAGAGAGGGATAGCTTGTCTCTAAACAGATGAAGTTACAAGATAAAAAACATTAGCAAAATGTGTTAACTGGAGCTTATCCACAGAAAAAAAACTAGGCAGTGTTTAAATATTCTTTGAGAAGATGAATTCAGAGATGCAGAAAACCGGCCAGGCACAGTGGCTCATGCATATAATCCCAGCACTGTGGGAGGCTGAGACGGGAGGATTGCTTGAGTCCAGAAATTCAAGATCAGCCTGGGCAATATAGTGAGACCTTGTGGCGACTAAAAAAAAAAAAAAAAAAGGTGCCCAGGTGTGGTGGGGTGTGCAGGTCACCCCAGCTGCCTGGGAGGCTTAAATGGGAGCATTGCTTGAGTCCAGGAATTCCAGGCCACCCTGAACCGTGATCATGCCACTGCACTCATCCTGGGTGACAGAGAGTGAGACCTTGTCTCAAACAAAACAAAACAAAATAAATTAAAACTTAAGAAAGCGCTGCATGCTGGATGACCTTATTTTATAAAACTGTGATATACATAACATATGTGTGCACAGAAAAAAATGTGGGAGAAAATCCATCAAAATTCTAAGCGGCTTTCTGGGTGTTTAGTTTTTTGCTGAGCTTTTTTGAATGGTCCAATTCAACAAAGAGCGTGTATGACAATCACAAAAACATTTTTAAAAACACAGCGGAGGCTGAGGCTTCCCCAGTGGCGGGTGTGAGGCCAGGACTTTTGCTGCAGAGTGGCTGCAGGCTCTCCCAGTCCTCAGCTTCCTTCCCGCGAGCCCCAGCCGCTGGCTTCTGGCCCAGGCTCAGCTGCGGCCTTTTTCAGAGGCCCCACCAGGCTCCTTTCCTGACCTTAGATCGCCGCTGGTCCCCGCTTGGCTCCGGACGGTGGGCGACCCGGTTCCTTCCCCTCCAAGCTTCCCTGGGCTGAGTTCCTTTAAGCACCATGGGCTTAATTGGGCCTGAATTGATTTACTGGGCAGTGACTGCCCAATCTGACCCCTCCCACTCCCCAGCCTCAGCGGGGCCTGCAATGCCGCATTTCGCCAGTAGGTGGTGCTGCCCGACACAAAAGCGCCGTGGCCCCAGGTCCTCAAGATCGACTTTGGGGACCTTTCAAACGGTGGTCGTTGAAGGAGGGGCACCCTGACAGCACTGCTACCCGCGGCACGGTGGACACGTTGACCACCTAACAGCTCTGCTCCCAAGGCACCTGCTCCGTGGCAATTACAGAGCGCTCGTCTTGCCACCGGGTGTCACAGCCCCCCAAAGACGCAAGCCCTCTGGGGCGGGGACTGTCTACTTAGCTTGCGTTCCCTCGTCAGGCCTGACGCACGAAAAGCACCCAATACGTCTCCCCTGACTCGATTCTCCCTGCTGGCAGACATACCTGGGTGGGCGCTTCAACATCCTGACCTCGAACCTTTTCGGTAACCCCAGGAGATGCTGGAAAAGCTGGCGGGCCGATTAGACGCCAGAAAAGAACAGCAGGAAACCCCAGGGTTTAGGGAACTGTGTGTCTGGCAGGAAAAGTACATGGGGTTCCTTGATCCCCTGGGAAACCTCAGCTGCTTTGACATCCCCCGCCCCCCGCAAAAATCTTTCTGAATGTGTTAGCTCTGAAACAGATTTTTAAATGCTTGTAAAGCATACCAACATCTGGATGGCTTATTAAAAAAGTTGTTTTTAAAAATGAAGTAAAAAACACAATCTATAAATGGGATAGATAACTTTGAGTGTAGCAAAATAAGAAGGTGTTTCCTAAAAAAATAGGGAAAATGAGAAAAGCAAAACACAGCTGTATGCACAGTGTGGTCAGTGTGTGATGTAAGCTACTGATTAACAGAAACAGGCAGGGACAGGAAGAAACAAAATAGACAGTAACTACTGCTCAGTGGGTACAGAGTATGGCCCATGCACAAGTGAAATGCTTTACCTTCGCACCCTCAGTCAGTCCTCACAGCCCTTCTGCAAGGCAGGAATTACTCCATCGACTCAGGTTACACAACGTTTCTAAGAGGAAGCAGAGCCGGGAATGAAATCCAGGTCTAACAGCAATGCTCAAAGCTCACTTAACATGAACTTGTTTCCTTTTATGATACATTTGACTAGGTATTTTAAATCACAGTTAAAATAAGAGAATTCCTGCCTTTGCAAACCTACCAGACCTCAGAGCTTCTGAGCCTCAGGGCGTGCCCACCAAGGCCAGCCCATAGCCACAGACGCACACAGAATGGCCAGACTCGTCCTTCAATAAACTCAAGTCATCGGCTTTCTTATGACTTCCCTCTTTGCCTAAAGTTCACATGATCAGATGTGAAGCTCAAAGAGCTAGTTTCCTTGATTGATCTAGTGATTTCTTAGAAAGCAGTTAAGAAGCCGATTAGTAATCTAACATTTTTAATGGGCCAAAGATATTAATAGGCAACTCATTAAAAAGGAAATACAAATTGTTCAACTTATTCACAAGAAAAACTCATATTTAAACTATAGAAATGCTAATTTCTGCCAGTCTGGAAAGATGAGAAAACTCCTCCACACGTGGAAAGCTCTCCGGCAGAAAGCTCTGTGACAGCTGAGAAGCCCTCCGCCGAGGCAGTGCAGCAGCACCCACCCGCACTGCACACACTGACCCAGGAGTCCCACTGCTGGGAACTCATCTTTCAGACTGACTTGTGAGTGAAAGCCCACACACACCATTTACTGAGGCAATGGTTTTAATTGAAAAGGGCGGGATACAACTAAATTAGTCCTTCATCAAAAGGAGACCAGTACATGTACGGTTATGGTACACCCGTACATCCATGCACCCTGAAACAACGGGGAGGCCCCAATGGGCGCGGTGGCTCATGCCTGTAAACTCCAGCACTTTGGGAGGATCACCCGAGGTCAGCAGTTCGAGACCAGCCTGGCCAACATGGCGAAACCCCTGTCTCTACTAAATACACAAAAATTAGCCAGGTGTGGAGGAGCGTGCCTGTAATCCCAGCTACTCAGAGGCTGAGGCAGGAGAATTGCTTGAACCCGGGAGGCGCAGGTCACTGTGAATGGAGATCAACCACTGCACTCCAGACTGGGCAACAAGAGCAAAACTCTACCTAAAAAAAAAAAAAAAAAGAATGCGGACGTGCGTTCAGTATTGCTATGGAATTCTTCAAAATATTAACAAAGAAAAAAACCCCAAATAAGCAGTACACAAGAATCCGGTGATGCAGGCGTGTCTGGGCTGGTAGTGGCTGGGTGGCGTGGGACACTTCACCTTGTACGCTTCAGGGCCTTTTGAATTTTGGACTGTGTAAATATATTAGTTATTCAGAAAAACAAAATGAAAACACTTAACACATTGAAGGGTTCTTTGTTCCTAAAATTTTGGCTTAGCTCTATTTAACCGAGTTGCTGTATCTCTCCTGCGGTGTATATCCTGCTTGCAGAAGTCCATGCGGCACGTGGAATCCCTGCACTGGGAAAGTCCCTGACTAGACCCACGGGGACTCTGCAAGGGGCATGCGGGCGCCGCCCGGGGTCCAGGCCTGCGCGCCCTCGCTCCGCCTCCAGGTGGTGCTGCAAGGCCTGCTGCTGGAGCAGATGCTGGTGGCCTGGGGAACCTTGGGGCCTGGAGCTTGCTGACCAGCAGGCGAAGAAACAGGCAGGCACAAGTAAGTAACATAAAATAGAACTAACTTTATTTCTCTGGAAGAAGCAGGTACCGGATGCTGGAGCAGCAGCTTTGCCGACACAGGCTGGTGGGAAAACATGGAATGGCACGGGGAAGTTGGGTGGAAGAGGAAGCACTCATGTCCCTCAGGGCGGCTGCCTCTCAGTCTCCTTCCAGCCCTGGGGCCTTGGGCCCTGGTCCTCGCCAGAGAATGGTCTGACACCCTTTCTCCACTTCCTGAGCCACCTCAGGCTATTTCCAGGCACAAGATCCTGAGGCCAGCCAAGTCCCTTTCACGTCCATGGTGAGGCCACCAGTCACATTCTGCCCGGCGCCCCAACTGACTGCCAGGGGCCCCCTGGAAGAGGGCCCAATCCTAGGAGGTCCCGCTGGGTGCTGGTCCGCCTCTCTCTGGCCAACACATCTTCCTTGTCCAGGTCAAGCCTGGTTTCCTCCCAGTCTGGTCACCCAGGGCAGGGCCTGGGGCACTACTCCAGCCACAGGCCTGGCCCAGGACTGGAGTCAGAGGCAGGTCATACCCACAGCCCGCTGGGGCAGCCCATAGGCCTGTCTTCACCAGGCTCCTTCCTGCATCTTGGCTGGGGCACCAGGGCCGAGCCAAAGTGTGCAGGGATAGCGCTGGTACGGGAGGGACGGGCAGGGCAGGGCTCCCAGCCTCCAACGCCTTGTTTGGCCCTGCTCCGTCCCAGGAGCAGCAGGGAGCAGCGGGTCCTCCAGGCCTGGATGGGGGCGTCTCCCACCCCTGGTGGACGGACAGGCTCAGGTGATTCCTTCAGGCAGGCCCTCTGGCTCTCCTGACGCATCTCAGCGCCTGCAGAATGGGAAACCACCAAAAAGTCCTTCCAGCAGTTAAACAGATCACAGAAAGGTCAGCGGGGTGGTTCTGGGGGCCACTGGAGTCACTGCCTCCTGGTGCCAGGCAACACCACCGAAGACTGGCAGGCCCCAGCAAGAACTGTGAAATTTATCAACCTGGGTGTTCTCTCTACTTTTAACAAACTATGAGACTAGCGCTCCTGTGTATTAGAGAATCCGAAGACGACAGGTGCCATGAAGCCCAAGCCTATCGTGTGCAAATCAGTAAGGAGCACCATGAGGTGGTGACACTGAGGGCCTGCGTCCCGAGCCCGGCGTGGGGTGTGCTACACACAGACATGCCCCTCATCCATAGCACCAGTCCCTTCTACGAGGTGGGCACTATCATCCACATACTTTACATATGGAAAAACCTCAGCACCATGCATAAGGCCAGACGCTGGTGACAAGGACAGCAGGTCTGGACTGAGCTGTGCCTCCAAGGCCTGGCCAGTCTCAGCCCCGCCTCCCGCCAGCGCCTCCTGTGATGACTCCCACTCCATCCATCTGACCTCAGTTCACACTGACTTGATACAACTCTCAGATACATTGTTTATATAATATACAACGCATATTTATATATTTATGTTTTTAAAATGTCTATATATTTTGTTACACTATTAACTTTTCACAGGAAAAACAATACATGTTTTTGTTTTTGTTTGATAAGTCTTGCTCTGTCACCCAGGCTGGAGTGCAGTGGGCGATCTCAGCTCACCGCAACCTCCACCTCCTGGGTTCAAGCGATACTCCTGCCTCAGCCTCCCAAGTAGCTGGGATTACAGGCATGCACCACCATACCCAGCTAATTTTTGTATTTTTAGTAGAGACAGGGTTTCACCATGTTGGCCAGGCTGGTCTCAAACTCCTGACCTCAGGTGATCCCCCCTCCTTGGCCTCCCAAAGCGCTGGGGTTTACAGGCGTGAGCCACTGCCCAGCTGACATTGAAATTTTAAACGTTACTTTAAACAGAAACACAAAAACACGGAGGTAAGAAACGGGGATATAAATCACAGGTCCTAAAGCACTGTTCCCTGGAGCCGCTCGGGGTCACTGTGGGTGCAGGGGAAGCAAGCCCCCTTTAACTGGAGAGGCTCCAGGTCCCTCTTGTACTCATTTGAAAACCAAGTGGCTAACATGTCCAGATAAATGCATTTGGGAGAAATTATTTCCTGGGCCCTGTGCGCTTCTCCCTCCCCCAGCTGGAGGGCTGTGTCCCCTGGCGGGAGTGGCTGTGAGGTGTCAGGCTTCTTCCCAGTGTGGCAGGCCCCGGGTAGCCCTCCTGGGGCACTGGGTGGGGCAGACTCGGGGTGGGGCAGGCTCGGGGTGGGCTCACTCACTTGTGGTGGGCAGGGCCCCAGGAGCCCAGAAGGTGGCAACCGGCCTGCTCCAGGTTCCAGTCGAACATCTCCAGCACTTTGTGGCACTCCCCTCTGGGCCGCAGACCCAGCCCGAAGAGCTGCTCCACCTGGGGGCAAGGGTGGTGCCATGGACATATGGGCCTAGGGTACCAACTAGGGTGGGGAGAGGAGTCGGGGCGGGGGGCGGGGGGCAGGGAGCAGCAGAACCAGGCTTCAGGGTCCCTGAAAGCCAGAGTGAGCAGGAGGTGGCGGTACCTTCAGATACTGGGCAGCCCTCTGCACGCTCCAGCCGTGGCTCTGCAGGGCCGCCTGGCACTCCTCTGTGGTCACCCCATGCACCGTGGCCTGCAGCTGGGCACACCCACCCCCCATCAGCACCTCTCGGGCCCACTGCTCCAGGCCCCTTGGCCTGCCCTGCCCCCCACAGCCAGGCCCGGTACTCACCATCTGGACCTTGTCTGCCAGCCGGCCCGCCTCTGGCCCATCCCCAGCGCAGCCCCTCTGTGGCGGCCGAGCAGTGGCCCTCGGGGCTGGTGGCCGGGCCCCTGGGTTGCTGTTGTTGGTGGAGAAGTTGGCCTTGGGGTCCGAGGCAGCCTGGGGCATCGGCCGAACGGTGGCCGTGGGGGCGGCAGGGGCTGGAGTGTTGGGTGGGGGCAGCAGCAGGGGCACAGGCAGGGGTGTTGGCTCCTCGGGGCTCTGGGCCTCACGCAGGAAGCGCTGGTAGCGCTCCAGGTAGGACGGGCGCTCAGGCAGCAAGTAATAGTGGGTGCTGCTGACCTTCTTGCCATCCCGGACGATGGGCAGGATGCAGGGACCAGCCCGTGGGCCAGGTGCCTGGATCACCTGCGGGGTGGCATACTTGGGGTCTGAGGCGAAGCTTTGGGTGGTGGGCATGGTCTTCCCAGGTGAGCTTGAGAGCCGGAGCGGCAGTGGGGAGCTGCCAGGTGGTACCAGGGGGCTGGGTGTCCTCGAGCCTGGAGGGGACAGGGGCTCCCGGGGAGGCACCCGGGGAGGGGAGGCAGGTCCAGGCCACCGGCCGGTCTCATCCTCGCCTGAGGGGGCTGGAGACAGCTCAACGTGCGGGCGCGTTGGCCGAGGGGGGATGGGCACCCTGGGGGGCACCTGGGGCTTGTCGTCACCCCCCGGGCTGGGGGAGGAGGCCGTGGATCCGGCTGGAACCTGCAGCTGCCGCATGCACTCCTGCTGCAGCGCCTGGAAGATCTCCGCCATCTGGGCAGAGCTGGGTGGCTTGCCCCCACCCTGGGGCAGGAGGAACAGGTTGTCCTCCAGGGGAGGGGGCAGCCGTGCCTGCTCAGGCACAAAGGCGTAGTTGGTCTCGCCCTGGCTGGGCCCAGCAGGCACCCCCGTGCCCACCAGGCTGCTGTTGATGGAGCAGACCTCAAAGTCATCCTCATCCTGGGCCACGTCGTCATAGGCAGGCGGGGGCGGCAGCGGGCGTGCGTCCCAGTCCACCACAGGCGTAGGGTGCAGGGGCCGGGGCAGCGCCCTCGTGGGGCTCTGAGGCGGGGTCTTGTCTAGCAAAGAGCAGGCGTCCATGGCCAGCTGCGCCAGGGAGGGTGTGCAGGGCCGCAGGGCCGGGACCACAGGCTCCTCACCAAAGTCAATGAGTGTGACCTCAGCCCCGCTGCCTCGGCCGGCCTTGGTGCCCGGCACCCTCGCTGAGGGCTTTGCCAGCCACAGCCCTCGGGACAGGCCTGGCTTCCGCAGGCCCAGCCTCTTGAAGTCACTGGACAGGGGGTCTTGGTCCTCACTCACAGGGTCATAGGTTGGTTCTGTGATGGAAAGGGAGACGCCACCAGGAAGGCAGTCAGTCAGGGGCAGAGGCAGGGGCACACAGGGAGGTGGCACGTGGTAAACAAAGCCAAGCATCCCCCACCAACCCTCCATCCCACCCGTCATCAACCCTCCACTCCCCCCCCCCACCACCCCCCCTCCCCCCCCCCCCCCCCAACCCTCCACTCCCATCCCCCCACCAACGCTCCATCCCACCCCTCTCATCAACCCTTCACTCCCACCCCCCACCGACCCTCCACTCCCACTCCACTCACCAACCCTCCACTCTCACTCCCCCCACCAACCCTCTACTCCCACCCCCGACCAACCCTCCACTCCCAGCCCCCACCAACCCTCCAATCCCACTCCCCCTCCCCCACCAACCCTCCAATCCCAGCCCTACACCAACCTTCCACTCCCGACTCTCCCACCAACCCTCCACTCCTAACTCCCTCTGAAGTCTGAGGTCCGCCCTTGGCTGCCAGATTCTCAGTGCACATCTGACCACTGGATCAGGAGGGCAGAACCTGAGTTGCCAGAAGCCCCAGGTGGTCGGTGAGCCCCACCTCCATCTGAGCTGGAGGAAGTGACATTCCCGCCTGATGCTTCCTCCATGAGCACAGGAGCCGGGCAGCCCTGCCCCTGGGCCCTGGTGAGTTAGTAAGCCCTCATCCCCGAACCCGTCACGGCACACCATTAGTGTAGGCATGGAGCCGCCTCCTGCCATCAGGAGCTATAGGAACTGTCCTTGGAGAGGACAGAGCTCCAGACCAACTGCCACGAAGCGCAGACAGCGCCTACAGGTCTGAGAGGGAGTGAGGCTGAGGTGGGAGCCAGGGTCACACTGTTGCTCCCAAAGCGCAGGCTCTGGGAGGCACTACAGGCCAGGTCAGCCATGGAAGCTCACAGCACACACCCTAATCCTCCCGCCCAGCCCCGGCTCTGTACCTTCCAGGAGAGGACTGAGAGAGAGGGGGCGGGGGCGGGGGCCAAGGCTTCGGGAGCAGCCCCACTTACTCTGAGTGAAGAAGGCAGGCTGAGGTGGGCGAGGTGGAGGCTCCCCTGCAAGAAAGGCCATGCAGAAAGGGGAGACAGACAGAGCAGGACAGAGGACAAAGGAGAGAGTCACCGGACGGACGAGAGGGCAGAGTGTGGCAAGAGGGAGGGAAGGAGAGAAGTGAAGGGGCGAGTGAATGTCTACGCCCCCAGCAAATGGGAGGCCTCAGGGTGGCAGGACAGGGAACACACGGTCTGGTGTGTCAGGCACAGGACTGGGAAATGGAGGAGGCTCCAGGCGGAGCCGGAGCCATGGGATGGTTTTGGCTTGGGACAGGAGAGCAGGATTAGGGGAAGTGAGGAAAGCCAGGATCTGAGCTCGGCCTTGAGGAAGGAGGGAGGAGGGATGCCGGGGCGGGTGGGGCCCAGCCTGAGGAGGCCCACCTCGGCGGATACAGCTGCCTCTGTCTTCCACCCCATGCCCAGCCAGAGCCAGGGACACAGCTGTCCCTGCTGCCCTGACCCCACTGTCCCCAGAGCCCGAACAGCAGGCTCGGGGTAGCCTGCAAAGACAGTGCCCTTCCTGAGTCGCCAATGGATTAAGGGCACCAAGGGGCAGAGGCACTCTTACTTTTCACCCTTCCTAGATGCTGGGTGGGCCGGGAGGTGCTCAGTTCCACGCTCAGCAAGTCCGGGGGGTCCATGGGGTTTCCCAGATACAGCCTGTCGGGGAGAGAGCCAGGTCAGAGGGCAAGGGAAGGGTGTGGAGGAATGGCAGGAAACACCTCTGGTGGAAATGCTGGGTCTGTCCCCAGGGTCGGGCAGGAAACAAAGTCCTGAGTGTGCCCAGGAGACCACCTCATCAGAGCCCCTTCCTCCCAGAGGAACCTGGGTACAGACTTGGGTGTGCAGCGCAGGCCTCCCACCTCCCACGCCACGGATCCTGAAAAACCTAGGACTTCAGGGGCTCCGACTACCCCCTACAAGAGCAGACGTGGTTTTCCACAACCCCCCAGGCCCCCAGCCCACACCAGGGAGCTTCTGGTGGGCACACACTGCTGTCCGCAGGCCATGCTGTGGCGCCTGAGAATGGGGCATCCCAGCTACAGTCCCCGGCCAGGGTGGGCAGGAGGTACCCTTCTGCCACATGGCCAGGAGGTGCAGGAGAGGCTGGGCCACCCGTCCTGCTCCCAAGTCACCCTCCATCCCTGTGCCGACTGTCAGTATCTAGGACTTAGTTACTGGGGCTGATTAAAGCCCAGAGGAATGGGGTTAGACTGGCCATGGTATGCCAGAGTGGGACAGAGGGTGCTGAGAGTGGGCAGAAGGTGCCGGGAGTGGGGCAGAGGGCGCTGGGAGTGGGCAGAGGGCACCAGAGAGGGGCAGAGGGCGCCGGGAGTGAACAGAGGGCACCGAGAGTGGGCTGAAGGTGCCGGGAGTGGGGCAGAGGGCGCCGGGAGTGCACAGAGGGCGCCGGGAGTGGGCAGAGGGTGCCGGGAGTGGGGCAGAGGGCGCCGGGAGTGGACAGAGGGCGCCGGGAGTGGGGCAGAGGGCGCCGGGAGTGGGCAGAGGGCGCTGGGAGTGGGCAGAGGGCGCCGGGAGTGAACAGGGGGCGCCGGGAGTGGACAGAGGGCACCAAAGAGGGGCAGAGGGTGCCGGGAGTGAAGAGGGTGCCGAGAGTGGGCAGAAGGTGCCGGGAGTGGGGCAGAGGGCACCAGAGAGGGGCAGAGGGCGCCGGGAGTGGACAGAGGGCGCCGGGAGTGGACAGAGGGCACCAAAGAGGGGCAGAGGGCGCTGGGAGTGGACAGAGGGCGCCGGGAGTGGACAGAGGGCACCAAAGAGGGGCAGAGGGCGCTGGGAGTGAACAGAGGGCGCCGGGAGTGGGGCAGAGGGCGCCGGGAATGGGCAGAGGGCGCCGGGAGTGAACAGGGGGCGCCGAGAGTGGACAGAGGGCACCAAAGAGGGGCAGAGGGCGCCGGGAGTGGACAGAGGGCGCCAGGAGTGGGCAGAGGGCATCAGGCCCCTCCCAAAGGTGCCTGCAGTCCTTCACCGCAGTTCCCAGGCCCTTGCCTGGTTCTTTTTAAGCAAAACACATGCGCTGACCCCTGTGAGATTGGGGCTCCGTGTGTGGGGGCCCGGTGGGTGAAGGCCCCTGCTTTCCACACCTCTCAGGGCAGACCAGAGTTATCAGAAGTCAGCAGGAGAAGGGCTGCAGAGACCAGGGAATCCCTGTGTGGCCAGCAGAGGCTCAGAGCCCTGGCGAAAGAAACTTCTGGCGGCTCCCTGGAGTGGGGAATCCAGGAAGTGACCAATTCTGTGTGTCCTTCCGAGACACCCCTCACTGGCCTCATCCTCCTGTACAGGAGGCGGGCTCACCCCCCTCCAGTGAGCTCTGCAGAGCTGCACGGCCGGGAGGCTGAGCTGCCACCTAATGTTCCCTCCGCAGGCCCCAGGGTTTCCAGTCCCGCCCCTGGTTCTGGGAAGCAGGCTCTCTCCCACATGGACCTGCGCACATTCCCAGGGCCCAACTCTGACACCACCAGCAGGAGAAGGAAAACCGCTGCTCACGTGCAGGGCTCACAGGAGAAGCTCCTCCTCAGAAGCTTCCACCAGGTTCCTCCCAAGTCCATTTCCTAAGGCCCAGCTGCCAGGAGGGGTTACGGTTGTGCCCGGGGGCTTTCCACCAGTCAGGTGCCCCTCCTCACAAGCTCCGGACCCTACTTTCACTGACTTCTCTCAGGACCCCTGCATCTGAGTGGCACGTTCTAATTCACAGTGCATTTACAACTCTCCCCTCATTCGTGGGATGGATCCGTTTCACAGATTAAGTCAGTCTCAGAGTTCGGAGTTCAGCCCCCCCACAGCTTGAAAACAGCAGGGAAGCACTCCCCTGGCAAATCCCCACCAGGCTGGGCTTTCTAGGGCTCCACAGCCTCCAAGAGTAAGGCCAGAGGTCAGGAGGAGAGAGTGGCAGGTTCGGGCGCTGAAGCCCGAGGAAAAGGGTGAAGAGCAGGTGGGGCCCCATGCCTGCCACACTGAGGGCCCTGGAGTCCCACGAGGGGCCAGGTTGGCATCCCTGCCCAGTACTCACTCGTCGATCTTGTCCGGGAAGCCCCAGCAGTGGCGGGGGTCGCTGTCGCCATGCCCCGTGTGGATGAAGCTGTTCTGCAGGGGCTGGCTGATGTCCTGGGCGGACAGGCCAGCCACGGAGGTCACCACATTGCGAGGGAAAGGCCCCACACACAGCGTCCGCGTGTTCTGACCACGCCACCAGTAGTTCTCGGCCCTGCCCAACAGAGATGGCACAGTGAACACCAGGTGTGGCGGAGCAGCCCCGGCAGGGGGCCCTTCTCACACCCTGGCCACTTTGATAGAGCGGAGATGAGGCTCAGGCCTCAGGACCCAGCTGTCTTCCACCAGCCCTCCTCCCCCACAGCTCCTGTGACACGCCATGCCCCGTACAGGCCTGACGGTTTGCACACAGCCTCACCCTCAACTCCCCAGGTGGATGAGACAGCTTTCCCTACAGTTTACAAACAAGGAAGCACGCTGCAGCAAGCCACATGCCTTGCCTCTGGTTACCAGAAAGATCCCAGCAGACCTGGGATCCAAACCCACGCCCAGTCGTCAGGTCTGCAGGGCCAGCGCCCTGCTCACACCTCCACCCTGCCCCTCAGCTCCCTGGCAAGGCCAGGGCCTCAGTCCTCTTCTGGCCACTCCATGTCACTCCTCAGCTTGGTTCCAGGAGTTCTGAGAGGGGCGGGGTGTCAGGGACACCAAGGGTGGGGGCCCAGCCTCCCGAATGCAGACCTGAGTCTAGAAGCACTCAGGGCACCTCAGGCCCTCTCTCCCCCGCTTTACCTGTTCCCACCACCTCCTGGCAGGCCTGCAGGAGCCTCCCTGTCTCCTCAGGAGGGCTCTACTCATGTCTTAAAACTAGGAGTCCAGAAGGGAACTCAATACTCCCAGAGAGACCAGACAGTGGGGCCATCCATCCCCCCAACCTCGGACACGAAACCGCTGCTGATGCAGCCTAAGCCACGGCCTGGGGAGGGGCAGGGGCAGGCAGGGCAGGAAGCATGGGGCTCCTGCAAGACGCCCCCGACACCCAAAGGCTCCCAAGTCTGCTGCTGGACTTGCTCATACTCGACAACGTGGGCAGAGTCCAAGCAGGCGGGGGCAGTGACAGCCTTGTGCTGCTGGGGTGGACGCATGTGGCAGCATGCCACATGCCCTCCCCGCCACCCCTGTTTCACCTGTCCCAGGGCCAAAGTGTGAAGAAGGCCTCCTCTGAAATGCAGGCAGGCCGAGGACAGAGGATGCAGGAGGTGGCCATGCCTGAGCACCCAGACCCACAGCCTTGGGGGCTGATGAGGCCGGTCTGCAGCAATGGGACTCCAGCAGCCCATCCCAGAGACCAAAGTCAAACCCGAGAGCACCCAGTCCTTGGGGAGGTACAGGGAGGTGGGGCTGCTCCTCCGGCCCAGCCTCCTCATACACAAGGCCACTGGCCGGCCTCACACACAGCGACCCTGTGATTCCCACCCTGCCTGCAGCGGGGAAGGAAGGAGAGAGGACAACACCCCAATAAGGGACAAGTCCCATCTGAAAAAGAGCTGGGCCACTCCCAGGAGCAGAGCCGCAGCTCCCTAGCATGCACACGCAGCCTCTGATGGCAGTCCGCAGGGGAGAACCCCAGCACTGGCCAGGCTGTGGCTCTCCCACAGTACCCACAGGCTCCCTGGAGGCTGGAATCTGCTCTCCACACCTCTTCCAGGTGCTCATTCATTCACTGGGTAAGAAGGCAGCTGGGGCGGAGCCTGTGCTCAGAGCAGCGTGACGCATGCCCGAGGCTGGGGCCGGCAGGAGGTCCCTTCCTCCGGCCTTTTCCTTCCGCCAGCACTGCCAAGCTCCTGGCACAGAAGCAGCCTCCTTTGGCACCCACTTCTGAGAGGGAAAGGAGACACCAGGCCCACCCTCCCTTAGTACAGGTATGGCCGAGGCAAGAGCCCCCATGGCCGCTGGGGTCCTGACACCACTCCGTAAAACATGCTTGCTCCTGGGGGAAGGAGAAGACAAGTGCGGAGGACGTATACAAGAAAGACCCGCGTGGCGTCACATCCATGCATGCTGGGACTTCCACGGTGACCAGTGTCGGCTCTCACAGCCCACACAGACCCGAGTGAGCAGCAGCCCAGAGGGGACTGAGGCCAGGCCTTCCCGCCAGGCCCGCCCTGGCCATGCCCTCTCCCCCCACCATGAACAGGCCAGAGTCTCCGTGGCCGTGGGAGGGCCAGGAGCCATCTGGCAGCGACTGAAGCAGAGCTAGACGAGGGGTTCCTGGGGGAGGAGGAAAAGGGCCCAGCACCCCTGCAGGAACGTTCCACCTCCTGCTGCTGCCCTCAGGTCTCCGGTCAGCCTCTCGGGGATAGACAAGATAGAAAATGAGGCCTGCGCTGAGAACCGCCTGAGGCCGCCCAGCTCCGGAATCTCAGCACCTCGTTCCAGTCCCGGCCCAAGGGAGTCTAGAAATGGCTCAACCAAGGCCGAACATTCTGCTTAAAATGCCCGCCTGCTCTTCTCTCTGGAGGTCCCAGGCCCAGGCTTGGCGGGATAACCTGGATGCTTGGCTCCCACCTACCGCCCGAAGCTGAGGCTCCAGGCGAGACCAGGCCAAGGACCCACAATGAATTTCAGCACCTCTGCCTGCTGCACACATTCTGCATGCAGATAAAAGTGCTGCTGGCCATCCCTTCCTCCGAGTGACCCCCTGGGAAATACCAGGAATCATTTGTCTCTCCAAATCTAGACAGAGCACGAAATATCTAGGTGTCTTCCCTCTGCCCACGGCCTGGTGCCCTGAGAAGCACTGAGCCTAGTCAGTCGGAGCTGGGGCAGGTGGCCTCCCAGACTCTGGACCAGGAAGCAAATACTGGAGACAGCCTCGAAAGCGGGAATCCATGGCCAAGAAGGCCCAGCCAGGAGGGAGGCCCAAACCCAGAGACCCACATGTGCAAACCCAGGCCTAAGACAGACAGAGCCATCCGCCCATAGACATGGAGACGGTGGCAGCCAAACAAACACAGAGATATTCAGGGACTGGGAAAACAAGGGGGCAGCGTCAAGCACTCTACCACCAACACCTAGGCCCGCTCCCAAGCCTCGCCGGCTGTCATGACGTCCTGTCCCTCACCTCCCACCTCCTGAGCAGCTCCAGGGACTGAGGGCAGGTGCTGTGGTCCAAGCCAGGGCTGGTGGCTGGGGGAAGGGGCCAGAGAGCCCCAGTAGCAGCAGCCACAGGGAACCAGAGCTGGGGCCAATGGGAGCCTGCGACAGAAGAGTAGGGCGCACCCACGACCCTCCCAGGAGCAGCCCCTCCTGGCCCTTCCTGCTGACCGCCTTGCTCGGTGATGACCTAAAGCACAAGCTCCAGAGACACACGCCCCAAACACAGCCACTCTGAGTCACCCCAGGGACACTGGCAGGCACATGGGCTCCCGCTGAGAGCCAGGGAAGCGGGCAGTAAAGGTCTGGGACCCTGGCAGCAGCACAGGGGGGCACGGCCCACAGCTCTCTGGCTCGTGGGGGCAAACGTGGCTGTGGGCCTGGACTTTGGACTGGAGGTACCTCCAGAGTACCTACAGGTACTTCCAGGTACCTCTAGGGGACCCCCACCCTTAATCTTCCTATTTCCAGAACGTGCCCCAGTGTGCCATGCTTGCCATCCCATCCCTGGCACTTCAGCTCCAAACCTGCAGACTGTGTGCCTCCTCTCCCCAGGCCTCTCTTTCTAGAACCTTCTGCTTTCTTCCCCCCACAACAGCCCCGCAGTCTGTCCGTATGTCAGATTGTTCTGGCATATTCCTGTTTCCGGACCCCAGGCCCGAGGGTGAGGGAGCCGGGCCTGGGAAGGCTCATGGTATGGGGGTCACAGCGCTGCAGGCCACCCTCCACACAGCCTGCCTCAGACCTCCAGGCTCTCCTCCACCCACCCACAAGAGGCACAGGATTTCACCAAAGGCAACCGACCCTCAAACCTGCAGTGCAGGTGGAGGAGGCTCCCTGGGAAGCACCCCTAGCCCTATCCCTGCCTGGCTCTGAGTCACAGGAGCTGGAGCACAGGGAATTTCTTCCACTTTACTCTTCTTCCTGGTCCTCAACACTCCCCGCTGCCTCAAAGACACCTCAGACCTGCCCTGGGGATCAGATAGCAGAAGGCAGGGCCAGCAGTGGGTGGGGCCTCAAGGAGAAGACAGGGACTCAGCAGAGGCTGCAGGAGGAGGGTTAGGAGAGAGGGTCCCCCACAAAGGAGATGGGAAGAGAGGGGCAGAGGCCGGAGGTGGGCCTGGGAGGGGGTGATGGGCTCAGCAGGAAGGATGGAAAGCTGGCAAGAGGGCAGGCTGGGCTGCTTCGGCTACTGAAAGGCACCCGGGTACACAGTTGAGTCCTTATGTCAGAGAGAAGCGGGGGCAGAAGCAGGGAGGACCAGAGGAGGATGCTCGGGAGTCCCTGAGCTCCACTGTGGCCCTGAGGCCAGGCCAGGCCACCCAACCCCTCCATCAAGTCAGCCTGGCCCAATCACACAGCCAGGGCTGGAGCCCGTGAAGAAGGGTGGCAGGAGGAAGCTGGCAGGGAAAGGAACTAAGGAGACCCAGCCAGGCCTGTCCCCTTCTCACGTTGCAGGGTTCAGGCCCAACCGCCAACCTGTGTGTGGCCAAAGTGATCTGTCCACAGGCCCCTTGGACCTGTGCCCTTCAAGACATCCCTACCTTCCCTCGATGACAGTGATGACGTCATTCATCTGGATGTGCAGCTTGTCCGGCTCCTCAAAGTCCTGAAGGGCCCGCATGTCAGTGGGCTGGGCCTGGGGGGAGAGAAAGGTCATGGCCAGCTCTGGGGCTGATCCCTGGATGGCCCCTCAGCTCTCCTGGGCTGCCCTGTCCCTCACCTCCAGCAGGAAGTCCCGCAGAGCCACAAAGGTAGGTCTGTCCTCTGGCTTGTGAGCCCAGCACTGGACCATGACATTGTAGATGTCCTGGGGGCAGTCCTCAGGCCGAGGCAGCCGCTCCCCCTCCTTGTCGATCTTATGCAGGATCTGATGGTGGGAGGCACAGAGGGTGAGGACCCATGGAACACCCAGCCCTTCCCTTTCGGCCCTTCCTCCGGCCCCTCCTCAGCTTCAGCCACTGCCACCATGCCTGGCCTCAGAAGAAGGGATCTGCCTGCCTGGGCGGGGCCCTCTCCAGAGCTCCTGACCCTTCTTCCCAGGTCTGGGCCTCAGCACAAGTGGTTGTGGCAAGGGCTGGAGAATGAGGGCAGGCCCCAGCTCGTCCCTCCCCGGCCCAGCGCATCCCAGTCTGCTGGGTGCTCCCTGAGAGGCCATACAGATATGGGGCCTGGGAGAAGGGAGTCCCTCAGATGAGAGCCAGCTCCAGCAGGCCAGGCTGCAAGCTGAGGGTGGAATTTACCCCACCCCCTCATGGGGCCTGTCTCCCAGCCCTTACCTGACTGCCATTGAGGCCAATCCAGGGCTCCTGGCCGTAGGTGAACATCTCCCACAGTGTCACCCCGAACATCCAGGTGTCGCTGGCATGGGAGAAGGTGCGTGTCTTCAGGCTCTCAGGGGCACACCTGGCAGAGGCAGGGGTCACAGAGAAGCCCTCTCAAACAACGCCACTGCGTCCGCCCCAGGGATGTCAAACGCTCATTCAGCAAACATCTGTTTGACCCCCTGTGCCAGGTTCAACAGTGGGTCTCAGGGATGCGTGTGAAGTGGGCGGGGGACAGGACTCCTGGGCTACACGGTGCACAGACTCGGGGAAGATGGTCTACGCTCAGGCCTCTTATTCACAAGCAGCCTGGCGTGGGAAGAGGAGGGGACATTTCCCAGCCAGAGAAGTGGGGAAAGAAAGGAGGTCACAGGCTGCAGGACAGAGCAGGAGAAGATCACAGGCTGCTTTCTGACCGTGGCGGGATCCTGTGATTTGGATCCTTCAGCAGGAAGGTGTGGGAAATTCAGATAGGGCCGGGGCAAGAACCAAAATGGGTAGAAACAATCATGCTGGCTTCACCCAAATACACCCATTTGCTCTGGGCACCCCCGGGTGAGGTCAGTAACGGCCATCCCAGCGTGGACTGAGGTGCAGAGGGAAAGGTGCTGTCCTAGACATGGAGCCCCGCCCCTCGAGGCAGACAGGACCTAGGAAGCCACTCCAGGTTGCCAAGGCTCCTTGTCCTCATCTGTGAGAATGAGAACAGTAAGTGCCCACTTGACAGTGTTGTTTAAAGGCACTGTATTAACAAATGACCATTCAAACCAGGATACCTGAATGCAAAAGAGGCTGCTATAACTTACTACTCCGAGACTACAGGCAAACCTAAGACATATGCTCACCCTGGGTGTAAAGCCAGCTGCTGGTTAAGATGACCATATGTCCTGGAATATCAGGTTGCCCACAGCCACCGCTCTGGCAAGCAGGACTGGACCAACCCTGCCTGCCCCAAAGCAGGCAGATCAGAGTCCTTTGTGCCTCTGGCACCAGACGACAGCAATGGTCTCAGCACAGGGTAAGCCCACACAGGGGTCAGGCCAGTGCCAGGTGAGCAGCCCTGGTCTGTCTGCAAGGCCTGGTGTGGCCTGGGCCTGTCTACCACTAGCTCTACCTAGAACATGCTTACAACAAGTCTTTCCCCGGCTAGCTGCCCCTGCCATTTCAGGAGCTTACCGTAAGTCCTGCAAGAAGCCTCTGAACACCCCACTGAGCAATGCCCCTGGATGAGACACACAGACTCATCTTGTGCTTCCCGGCACCCAGACCCTGGCATATGGGCCCTCAAGAATTCCTAGATGGATGGTGAGTGAATGGGGGCAAAGGAGGGCGCCCCGGGCTCAGAATAGAGAAGGGCAGGCCCAAGCAAAACCGAGGGCTGTGGTGGGTCAAGAAAGCCCCAGAAGCTTTGAGGCCTGGGTCTGCAGAGACCAGCGTGGGGTCGGACTCTGAGCTGGCAGCACCTGCCCCTCACCAGGCGAAGGGCACCTTGCGATGTTCCTGCATGACGTAATGGTCGTCATTCTGGGGCAGCGCTCGCATCAGCCCAAAGTCCCCGATCTTGACCAAGTCGCGGGTAGCCAACAGCAGATTGCGGGCAGCCAGGTCACGGTGAATAAAGCGCTTGGACTCCAGGTAGCCCATGCCCTCAGCCACCTGCACAGCGTAGCGGCTCAGAGTCCCCAGGAGGAAGTGGCCCTGGTGCTTACGTAGCCGGTCCAACAACGATCCCAGAGGTGCCAGCTCTGTCACCTGAGGCCACGGAGGAGGCAGGAGGAGTGAGCCTGGAAGACCCTGCCCCTTCTCGGCACCCCATGCTGGGCTCCCAGCCCCTTTCTGAAGGCTTTCCACAGCAAGGCTACATGCTCCTTCCTGGCCTGTCACCTGGGGACCTGTAGGAGTCCTACAGTCTCTCAGGCCTCTCCCTCCAGAAAATGTGGGAAACTGACACCCAGAGAGGAGGAGCCCAAAGAGGCAATGGCTAGAAATTCCAAAACTTGACCAGGCTTGGCGGCTCGCACCTATAATCCCAGCACTTTGGGAGGCTGAGGCAGGTGGATCATTTGAGGTCAGGAGTTTAGGACTAGCCTGGCCAACATGGTAGAACGCCATCTCTACTAAAAATATAAAAATTAGCCGGGTGTGGTGGCACACAGCTGTAATCCCAGCTACTTGGGAGCCTGATGCAGGAAAATTGGTTGAACCCAGGAGGCAGAGGTTGCGGTGAGCTGAGATTATTGCACCCCGGCCTGGGCAACAAAGCAGGACTCTGTCTCAAAATAAATAAATAAATAAAATACAAATCCCCAAAATTAAACTCATTGGCCAGCCCCCGCCCCATGGGAGTAACTTTCTGACAATGAGCACCAGCAAAATACAGAGACAAACTGGACTGCAGCAGACACAGTCAGTACCAGGCGGGGCCCTGTGAACCCTGTGACTCCATCAGGTGGGGAACAACAGGGATCTAGGGCGCCTCCGCCCTTAGTCAGGATGGAGACAGCACCAAGCACACATCTGGGGAGTAGAGCCCTGTCCGGCCCAGGCCCTCCTCCCCGCAGCACTCACCATCTTCATGGGCGGCGTAAGCACCACCCCGTACAGGCGAATGAGGTTTCGGTGGTCTAGCGAGTGCATGGCGTTGACCTCCCGGATGAAGTCGTCCATGGCTTCTGGCTGGCTCAGCACGTCGGGCTTCAGGCACTTCACAGCCACACTCACCTGTCCAGAGTGGGATTTGCAAGGACTCAGGACTCGCCAGGTCCTGGACACGCAGAGCCAACCTGCTCCACCCTCCAGCTAGGCCCAGCGATCCCTGCCTGCGAGCTGCTCCTCTGGGTGGGTGAGCGTGTCACCAGCGCTCTGCCTGAGGACTGGCTGCAGCAGGGCAGCTGGCTGGCCCTCAGAAGCCATCGTGGGCCAGGCGCTCCCTTCCTGGGGGAATACCCAGCTTAAATACCAAGCAAGAAGTAAGAGATGACCAGTTTGATGAGAGAATGCCAACATGTTATAAAATGGAATGTTAAAAGGTGCTTTGGTGTAGCAGGAAATGCTTTAAAAAGGCAATGCCAAAAACAAACTGCTGGTGCTACAAGCGGGCACCGTGGCTTCCCTTGGAAGAAGGGCACACTGAGTGGAAGAGGCAGGAGGGAGCCTTCTGAGGTGCCTGCATATTAGAGTCACGTGGAATTGTATGCTGTGGTGCACACGTGCTATCCCTGAAGGGAAACATTTTAAATAAAATGCCAAGAAGAAAGAACAGGATTTTAAAAGCTGTATCCAAAATTTGTATCTTAACTAAATCCAACAAAATGCCTAAGGTGGGAGGAAGAGGCAGAAATGCTAACTCTGCTTCCTGAGTGATGGGATTACAGGCATTTTTTTTTCTTATTTTTCAAATAGTTTCCAAATTTTTATAGTAAGTAAATTATTTTTATAATTGAAGGAACAAATGTGCTTAGTTAAACCTGAGTGTGGTCTGGGTGCCATGGCCTATAATCCCAGCACTTTGGGAAGCTGAGGTGGGCAGATCACTTGAGGTCAGGAGTTCGAGACCAGCCTGGCCAACATGGTGAAACCCCATCTCTATAAAAATACAAAAAATAGCCAGGTGTGGTGGTGCATACCTGTGGTCTCAGCTACTCAAGAGGCTGAGGCAGGAGGATCACCTGAACCCAGCAGGCAGAGGTTGCAGTGAGCCGATTACGCCACTGCACTCCAGCCTGGGAGACAGAGCGAGACTCTGTCTCAAAAATAAATAAATAAATAAATAAATAAAAACCAAAAACTCTAAGCATGGACTCTGGGATGAGCCATTCCGTGCCATGTCCCCAGTCCCAGTCACATCCTGGTTGGGGGCAGAAGAGTCACCAGCAGCCTCGGATCCCATGCCTCTACTGCACTGGCAGGACAGAGAACTTACCGTCTTCCCTGAGGGCGCGTCCCACTCGCCTCTGCGCACAACGCCAAAGGAACCATCGCCCAGCTTCTCCAGGAGGCGCAGGTCCTTCTCCCCAATGAGGCAGGTGAGGCTCTGCAGGGGCCCCTCCCCTGCTGGGACCCCAGGGATGGGAGAGGTCTTCCGGAAGGTGCTCTGAGAGTGTTGAGTGGGGAACTCAGCCTCCAGTCGCTTTCCACTGAACACCTGTTGGAAGGCAGCCAGGGGCCAGATGGAGCCCAATGCCCCCAGGTCAATCACTCAGTCCCACCCCGCTGGGTCTACTTGGTGATCCCTGGCTCAGCTTCCAGAGAGGTCCTGGCTTTGCCAAACTGTCAGTGGGGCATCCTGGCTGGAGGCCCACACTCCTTCCAGGGCACACCTCCAATACGAACCCAAAGCCTGGGGGTGGCTTCAAGGTGGGTGCTAGAAAAAGACTGACAGGCATGCAGCCTGTGGCCCCACACCCAGCTGTGGGGACAGGGAGAGTCCGAAGCCCTCCGGGCACCACCCACCCGAGGTCTGAGTCTCCTCCCAGTCCTGCCCCACCCCTCCCTTCCTGCACCCTCACCCAGCACAGACTCCAGCCCTAGCCCACGTAGATGGGGCAGGAGCTGCAGGGGCCCTCCACAGACACCTCCTTGTCCATTTTTAGCCCTGGCCCCTTCTCTGGGCTGACCATTTGGTGCTGTCTGTCTCCACCCTTCCCAGGGAGTCGGCTGCCCTTCATCCTGCCCAGGGGAAAGGATAATTTTAGTCTGAGGCTGAACCCTGAGTGTGTGTGTGGTTCAGATGAAGCTAGTCCTTGCTGGGGAAGGGCCTGGGAAGACAGCTGGGTTTCTGGAGGGGCGCCTAGAGCTGAGGGCTGAGAGAGAAGGAAGGGTGGAGGAGACTCTGAGGCCAGGGTGGACAGGGAGAGGGCCAGAGGTCAAGGGACTGGAGAAAGGAGGCCATGAGGGTCAAAGCTGGCCATATCGTCTGACGTGGCCATCTCCATGGAGGCACCCATAGCCTTGGCTCCAGGCTGCAGATTCTTGCCAGTTTGGTGGAGCCTGATCTCTTCCGGCTAGGGTGCCTTAAATCTGGGCACCTCTTCTGGCCTCTGCCCTGTGCCTCCTCCCAGTAAACAGAATTCCTTTTGTTTACAAGCAATGTTCAGGTTACAGGACCTTTCACAGCCATTATCTTAGGTGCCTCCCAAAGCCCCGAGGTGAGCTGGGTAGTGGGGCTGGCATCATTTCACTGAAGACACGACGGAAGTCTGAAGAGGCTACTGACTGCCCAGGGACCTGTCAGGAGCCAGTGGCAGATCCAAGACCCCTAAATCTCGGCAAACCACGCTGCTCTTCTCCTGCCTTCACCAGCCCCGATGCAACTCATCCTTCCCTAAAACCTGGGCAAGGGACCAGGACAGTGTTCCCAGAAAAAGCCACAGGATCCCAAGAGACAGCCCCTTTGCTGGAGTGCAGCCAGGAAATCTCTGCTGCCCAATCCCAATCCAGTTGTTTGGCCCTGCCCACCCCCACCCCATCCCCTCGGAGGCCAGAAGTGGGGAGGGAAGGCCACGGCTGGCTCACTTCCTCTCTCATTGTCTTCCAGACAATGGGCAAAGTTCCACTGAGTCAGACCATGGTCTTACTACACCACAGACCCAAATTAGGACAAGGTGTGGGGAGAGGTCGGGACAGGCTGTGGGGAAGGAAGCTGTCAGCAGGGCCAAATGACCAGAGAAACCCAGAGATTAGAGAGGGTGGGGAAGGAGGGAAGCCAAGCCAAGATGTCCTGGGTCCAGACAGGTCCAGCACCCCACGCCAGACACTGGCCCCAGCACTCAGACACAGCAAAGCTAAGTTAAGGCTCACTTGTCAACGAGCTCCTGTTCCGGGCCAGGACGCCCTCACCACACACAGGCTGCTCGCGTGTCCGTATCTGGCGGAGACAGACACTCAGCCCAGCAGCTATGCAAGTGCCCGGCCCGATAAGAGCCTGGAGAAGGAGGGTCTGTACAAAGAACTCTACCTTCAGGGGGCTGGGGGAGAAGGTTCTTAGGACAGGAGCGGAGTGGGGCGCTAGAGTCTATCCTCACCCACCTTGCTCATCCACGACTTCCGTTTGCATAAGGCCTTCCTCCTCTTCACGGCCTCCCACAGCCGCCGCTGGCCTGCGGGGAGGATGGGGAAGCCAGTGCTGTTAAGGCAGCTCCAGCCCCCGGAGAGGCTGCTGGGTGAGTCCAGCACTAGACACCGCCAGCAGTGATACCGATGAAATTGATCCCAACTGACAAGGAGCCTCAAGTGCCCAGACGGCCGCTGCACTCCAGGCGCTGGCTCTCAGACTGGGTAGAGGGCTGTAACCAAAATGTGGACGCAGTGGTCTGCTCCCAGCTCTCAGGAAAAGGCAAGGTGATGAACAGAATCTTCTCAGTGTGGAGGCTTTTTCCCTCCATAACATTTTCTGATGCTACTGGCATCAGACACCAACTATCCAGGCCAAAAGTAGCATAAATCAATGTCTAATTTAGTACATTATTACCCATTTATAGCAATTTTAAGTTGAAAGCCCTAATATGTTTCTAATGTTCTATGAAGAACATTATGACTTTAAGATGCTACAACCCCTACTTTAGAAGACACAGAGCTGAGCTCAAATTAGAGCAAACCTGTATGCGTGCGTGTATCTGTGTGTGTGTGAGAGCGCACGCCAGCATGAATGTATCAGCAAACCACCCGAGAGTCGGCCTTCTCCCTATACATCTCTGGGCATGGACCCCCCTGGCATTCAGAATGATGAGCAGAACAGACTCGATTTCATGCTTATGAAGGAGGCGGCGATCGAGGAAGTACGTCCTCTGTGAGCACAAACAGAGCAGGGTCTGTGGTGGCTCCTGTGTAGCCAGGGTTTTAGGGAAGGCCTCACTCTCCTCAAACTCGATTCACCTTTACAACTGCCAGCTATTCTCCGCACATAAGCATCTACTGATGTCCGTCCTGCTCTACCTCAGGACTCTGGGACAGACAGAGGTCTCAGCCGCCACCCACCATTCAGTGGTCTTGAGGACAGAGGATGTAAACGGTCAGGGCCAAGACAAGCCAGGCCAAAGTCCCACCTACCAGGCCGGCCCATGCCAATCTTCTCCAGGTCCTCATTCTTGACATACTCAAAGTGGGACAGGCGGGTGATGTTGAGGTCGTCTCGGAGCCGCAGGAAGTACTGTTGCAGCTGCACCTCGGACAGCAGCTCCAGCAGCCAGCCTGTGCCCTCCTCTGGCTGCATGCTGCCGCCTCCTAGCCTCTGCGGGGAGGGAAGAGTGGATCAGGGACAAGGGGTGCAGGGGAACAACAGGGGCCTGCCCCTGCATGACCTGGGCTCCCCTACACCCAACACACTGCTACCTTCTGCTCCCAAGAGAAGCTACAGAGAACCACCTGGACCCACTTTCCCCATTACTGCCAGCCACAGGGCACAATTAAGGCAGCGGAGACACAGCCCTGGCCCTGGAGTCAGAAGTCAAGACTCTTGATCCTGCAATCTGTGATCTGCGGCTGAGTGGCCCAAGATCAACCCATTTGTGCTCACGTTCCTCACCTGCTCTAAGTCTCTAGTGGTCGAAAGCCCTTGAAAATCTTTTTTTTTTTTTTTTTTTTGAGACAGAGTCTCCTGTCGCCAGGCTGGAGTGCAGTGGCACAATGCACAATCACAGCTCACTGCAACCTCCAACTCCCTGGTTCGAGCAATTCTCCTGCCTCAGCCTCCCAAGTAGCTGGGATTACCGGCACGCGCCACCACACCCAGCTAATTTTTGTATTTTTTAGTAGGGACGGGGTTTTACCATGTTGGCCAGGATGGTCTCAATCTCTTGACCTTGTGATCTGCCTGCCTCGGCCTCCCAAAGTGCTGGAATTACAGGAGTGAGCCACCGTGCCTGGCTGAAAATCTTTTAAAAGCTCTCCAGGAAAATAGATGTGTTCTTACTCCCAACATTTCAATAAAAATCTTTGCAGGGTGCAGTGTCCCTTGAGATCCAACTATGGACTCCTCAAATGTGACGGACCCCACAGAAAAATCTCAGGACCAGATGAGCCCTAGGCTAAGTTCCTCCCAACACCTGACCACCACGGCCTCTCCTAACAATCCAGAGATCACTCCACAGGTCCCCACATAGGCGCCTACAGGGCCGCAGCAAGCAGAAGACAGAGGGAGGGTGGGGACTGGGGTGGGCTTGCAGACACCCATCTACAGGGAGCTCAGATCCCATCAATGGTTGTCACAAGAGACTGTGGTCCAGTGTTGTCAAAGCTTTCCATTTTTTTCGACAAATAAAACGTGAAATCAGTACTACCATTTTTTTTGGAAAAGGTAATATATGCACATGGTGAAATATTCAGAAGGCACACTGGGCCATCAAGTCTCACTCCCTCCCCCACTGCACAGCCACCCGCTCCCCAGTAGCTGCCAATGATGCCTTCTGCAGACCCTTTCAGACTCTGCTGTCCCCTACACAAATATTCATGTGTTCGCCATACCATTCTGTTCCTTGATTTCACTTTCCATCTTTCTCCTGACTTCTGAACAACGCTGAATAGTTCAGATTTGAAACACACACACATGCACACCCACACACATGCACACACAGAAGAGCCAATGCCTCCAGGTGAGCAACCTCTGACCTACACTCTCCTGGGCCCAGAGAAGGAAGCTGGTGGCACCTTCAAAGCTAAGCAAGCGGAGCCTCCACACAGCAAACCCTCCCGTCAGAGTAAGAAATGTCAGAGCTGAGGGCTTGGCCAGGCCAGCCCCTGACCCATGCTCAATCCCTAGAGAGGAAAACAGGCAAGAGAAAAAAGGCCAGCTGCCCAGCTGGGGCCAAGCCATCCCCCTCCCCAGCTCTCATCAGAGTGAGAAGCACTTGAGAAGCGGGCACACACAGACTGGCCCAGCATGAGCCTCCTGCCCCCACAGTTCCCAGTGGCCCTGCCAACACAGTGCCAGTCCAGACTTTCTCAGGCAGCTCAGGGAAGTACAAAGAGTAACAAATGGGAATGAGAAACCCTCAGTTCAAATCCTGGCTCTTCCACCACGGTGACTGGGCCAGGCAGTTGGGCCAGCCGGGTGGTTTCCAAACTTTAAGCTGTAACCCTTTATTTGAATGGTTCTCGTAAGGGCTGCACAGCACCCTATGGCATATTTGTGGCTGTCACAATGTTTGGGGGGGACTTAGTGACACCGAGTGGGTGGCTGGGGGACAAGAACATGAGCTATCGTGCAGTGCATAGAGCATTCTCGCATTGTCCCACATCCCACACCGCTCAATCATGAAGGTGCATATGGTCATCCAAACCTCGACTCTGATCCCACTGAACAGGAAAATACTTTTATAGTTTTTTGGTTTTGTTTTTTGTTTGTTTTCTGGGGACACAGTCTCACTCTGTCGCCCAGGCTGGGGTGCAATGGTGCGATCTCGGCTCACTGTAACCTCTGCTTACTGGGGTCACACAATTCTCCTGCCTCAGCCTCCCATAGCTGGGATTACAGGCACCTGCCACCAAGCCTGGCTAATTTTTGTATTTTTAGTAGAGACGGCATTCCTCAACATTGACCAGGCTGGTCTCGAACTCCCAACCTCAAGTGATTTGAGCTCCTCAGCCTTCCAAAGTGCTGGGATTACAGGCATGAGCTACTGCACCCAGCCTTACAATGTTAATATGCACTAAATTTTCCTGGAATGAAACTACTTTGTAGACTTGTTCAGAACATAGCAGAAGTCCACTGTTTACAAAAAGCTCCGTGAAGGCAACCCCCTCTCATTATTTCAAAACTCCCTCTCAGTCAGCACTTGCAGATGCTGCCTTCATGGTGTTTCCACCTGGGGTCTCAGGATCTGACCCCTTCACTACGTCGTCTAGGTTACTGACGTGTTAGGACACATAAAATATTATACGTTCCCTCTTCTTATGTCTGTTTATATTGGAGTTCCCATGTGTTGCTTGTTTCATTGTAAACAGGTTAACAGGTTATATAAGAGATTACATTTCTATTAATTTTATTTAACAAGAGTAACAATAAAAATAACATCTAGGCTGAGCGTGGTGGCTCACACCTGTAATCCCAGCACTTTGCGAGGCCAAGGCGGGCGGATCTCCTGAGTTCAAGACCATCCTGACCCACGTGGAGAAACCCGGAATCACTTGAACCTGGGAGACGGAGGCTGCATTGAACTGAGATGGCGGCATTGCACTCCAACCTGGGCAACAAGAGTGAAATTCCATCTCAAAAAAGCAAAAATATCTAACACTTCAACTGCACTTACTATATTCGACGAACAATTCTAAGTATTAAGCTGTATTAATTAATTCATCCTCAACAAAACCATCTGTTTACAAACACACAGGTGTGGGGTTAAGAGGGCGAGGCACCACCACTTTCAGAAGCAAGCCCAGAGGCACGCTGAAGGCACTGGCCTAGGCAGTGTCTCCCCTCGGCCTGGCCACTGCTGCCCTGCCCCTGGACAAAGTGACCCCACTCCTACAGGGCTCAGCCTCAGGACAGGGGCTCCTAGTCTCCAGGGGGCCAAGCAGTCTCCAGGCCCCTCTTCTTCCTCCTACCACCAACTCCCAAGGATCCAGGCCCCTTCCTCTAGGCTCCAGGAAACAGCTCAAAGCCATGCGCTGGGTGGCCAGGGCTGAGGGAGACCAGAGGCCCCTCCCCTGAAGCTCTTCAGAAAGCACAGCCCGGCCTGTCCCCTCTGCCTGAAATACCAGCTCGGCTCAGCTGTGCCCTCCCCTCCCTGCTCCCTGACCCAGGAACAGTACTGCTTTGCACAGGGATGTGTGTGGGAAGATCTGGAAGACCACTGGGACCAGACCCCAGTGAGGGAAGAGTCAGGGTCTCAGTTCTGCCTCTCCTGCTGAGTCTAGGGTCTCTGCACAGGCCCCCTCTCCTCTCCGAGTCCCCTCCAGCCCAAGTTTCTTTGCGCAGCCCAGAGCATGGCTGCAGCTCCTCCCAAGCGCAGACCCTCTCTAATTCTGCACAAGCCTGGCCCCAGCATCTCATGGAGTCTGCACACCTGTGCCCATGGCTGGCATGCAAACACACAGGCCAGCACAGGGGAGGCCACTTGGCCCAGACGCCCCCGTCAACCCCTCGCTGGAGGGTCCCAAAGCTGCTCCCAGTCTTGCTCTCTGCCTCTCAGGCAAGTGCTGGTGCTGAGGAGCCCACCCAGTCCCCAGCAGTCTAGCCCCTGCCCCCCACTCACTGTGTACAGGCGTCGCCGCAGTCTGGCCAGGAGAGGGAAGGAGAGATCCAGGCCAGGGAACCGACGCGCTGCCGGCATCTCCACGGAGCTGGACCCCCGAGTGGTCACTGGGGGTCTGGCCCCAGAAGCAAGTGAGCAGGGGGCCTCAGCTCCTGAGCTCCACACTCTGCCCAGGAGGGGAGTTGGCCAGGGGTCTGTCCCAGGAGTCCCCCCAATCCCGCACCGAGGGTGGGAAATGAGGAAGAACAGGGTGGGCCCCTCTGCTTTGCCGCAAGCCGGGCTGGGTTTCCACAGCTGGGCAGTCTGGCAGGGGGCTAATAGGTCTCCTCCCGCTGGCTGCAGCCGGGGGCCTCTGTCCTCCTTCTGTCTTCGCTCCAGGGCAGTGCTCACAGTCCAGCCCTACTCCCTGGCTTCCCCGCCCGCCCGCCCGCCCGCCCTCCCTCTTGCCTCCCTCCTGCCTCCCTCCCTCCCTCCCCAGCTGAGCAGCTCTGACACTGGCTGAAAAAGGACCTTTCTGAATCACTGCCAAGAGGACGGCAGGAATGGGGGGGACTCTTCCTCCCAGCCACCCGCGCTGGCCCCCCTGCCTCCCCATACACAAGGCCCCCTGTCTCTGGCCTCTACCCCAATCCTCACAGTTGGAGACAACTCCTGGGATTTTAGGGTGGGGGCTATGTGGCTCAAACAGCATGTACAAAGAGGGGCTGTGGACCCCCACACAGGCCTGTGTGGGGAGGTGGGGACTAGCACACAGCCTGAGTGGGAGGCTTGGGCCCTACAGACAGACTCTCAGAGACCCTCCCCCACGCCCCAGTCCCAGCCTTGGCTGGGCGTCTCCTGGCTCAGACCCTGATGTGGCCCTGTTACCCTGGTGCCCGACGGAAATAGGAGGCCGGCAGCCTGCCAGAGTGGGGCAGACCAGCCAACAGCAAGGGTAGGGTGGGGGCGAGGATCTCCACCCCTCCCCCAGGGTTGCCTTGTCTGTTGCCCAAACACTCGGGGTGCCTCCTACCCAGACCAGGTGGCCAAGTGGCCAAAACCCTCAAAACAACAAATATGCCCTGAGAGTCCTGCTGGGACACCCCCACCCCAAAGCTCTAGGATGTCTCCTGTACAGCACCCCCAACGCAGACCACAGCCTCAGCCTAGGGGGCCTGGAGACACTCCCTCAAGCCCCCGTGGGGCCCCCATGTCTCTAGAACTGACAAACGATCTCTCTGGCCCTCCTCAAAGGGTGCCAGCTGCTCATACACCCCCCTCGCTACAGCCCCCAGACACACCTGACAGCTGCAGGAAATCCTCTCTGGCTCCCCAGACGCCCCCCTCCCTGCAGGGCCATGCCTAGGGAGCCCCTGTTTCTTGCACACTGCTCTCTTGTCCCTGTCCAGCTGGCCACCAGCTCAGGGAGCCCCAGCTGGCTGGAGGGGTGGGCAGCTGGGGAGCAGGGCTTTGGGGAATCAGCATCCCAGGCTCCCTTCCCAGGGCCTCTCCCAGCGCTTGACTTCCCTGATGATGCTGAAAGGGACAGCCATTTCCTGGTCTAACTCCAGGAGGTGCGGAGGAAGACATCCCCAACTTCAGTCCCTCCTCCTCATCCCCCCTGCCATCCACCCCACAAAGCCTGTGGAGACAGTGGGTGCAGCCTGAGTGAATAACCTGTCTGAGAGCGGAGGTCAGGTGGACAAGACAAGGTCAGGCCTACGTTACACCGGAGCTGACTTTTCGCTGAACCTTGGCTGACTATGCCCTTGGATCAAAGAAAGCCTACAGCCTACCCTGGCACCAGGCACCACACAGAAAAAGACCCAGGAACCAGGGCTGGGGAACAATTTAAGCAGGGTTATTCCCTCTACTTCAAAAACGGGTCTGCTGGATCAGAATGGCCAGATTAAAAACTCTAGCCGTCCCCAGAAATATGTGTCTCAAAGCCACCAGAACCCAATGCCTGACCCTCCCTTCCTTGGATGTCCAGTAAGAACAAGACCTGCAACTGGGCCAGCAATCCAGATGCAGGAAGCAGCACACTATAGGGGGTCAAAGCCAGGCCGGCTCCGGGACCACCCCCACCTTTTTTTTGAGTCTTGCTCTATTGCCCAGGCTGGAGTGCAGTGGTGCAATCCTGGATTCAAGCGATTGTCCTGCCTCAGCCTCCTGCGTAGCTGGGATTACAAGCATCTGTCGCCACACCCAGCTAAATTTTTTTTGTATTTTTAATAGAGACAGGGTTTCGCCATGTTGCCCAGGCTGGTCTCGAACTGTTGACCTCCGGTGATCCGCCCCCCTCGGCCTCCCAAAGTGTTGGGATGACAGGCGTGAGCCACCGCGCCGGGGCCCTGGCCCCGGCCCCTTTCACCCCACCCAGAAAAACAGCCCGACCTTAAGCCTCAAGCCTCAACGCTCCTACCGAGTCCCCCTTTCTCCTGTCAGCTACTGCCCTCTGCCAGTCGGGAGAGGAAATGCCTTCTCTCCAAGGGGAAGGGAAGGGGCCCCATCAATAATACAGTGAGCATTTCAAAAGCAAACAAGGACATTTGGCTTGATATTCACATTCGAAAGGCTAGTAAATGGGAACGACAGGGACTCAGTTCTCATGAAACACTGAACCCCAATCCTAGCCATGCTTCCTGGACTCCCTTGGGGCATTGAGGAAAGCCCAAAGGGCAGCTTTTTGGGGTCCCAGGGGACATGCACACAGAGGCAGATGCCAGCATCACTAATTCACCACCGCCACACCCACATAAACACACCCCTCTCTGTACCCCGGCCCAGGAGCAGACACTCTCACTCCTGAGGGGCTGCTGCAGAGGGCAGGGCTGGGCCTGGCTCACAGCAGGCGATGGGGTCTGGGCCCAGGTATCTGGCTAACCCCTAGCCTTCCCCATTACCTGTGATCCCTCCTCTCCCCCAGCCAGGCGCTGGTAAGCAGCTCTCTCCCCCATGGAGCCCAAACTCCCGGTGGCTGCGGTCAGGGAGGGAAGCTGCGTCCGCAGCCCCCGCCCCGCAGCGGCACCGGCAGCGTCACTGCCCTGCGTCCTGAGGGGCCGGGCCTCGAGCATCCTCCAGAAGGAGCTCAGGGCTGCTACTGCGTCCAAGCCTGGGAGAGGCCCCAGTCGGTGACCCCCGCCCCCTACAGCCTCATCTGCCATCGGCCAGCAGCCTGGGGGGTCGCACACCTCCTCCTGCGGGCCTGCGGCCATTCCTTCCTGCAGCCGGTCCCAGCTCCGCTCCTCCTCCCCACGGCGCTGCTCCCACCCTCTCCCAGCAAGCCAGCTGTGCCAGCCCCGCGCTGACCCCCACCGAGAGCCGGGGGCTCTGCCTTCGCGGACCACAGAACCGGGCTCCACGCAGCCCTCGGCCCGCCTCCAGGGCCCCAGAGCCGCCCATGGGGCCCTGGTTCACGAGTCCTCCTTATTCCACTAGAAGAGGCCATCTAAGAGGATCACAGAAGAGATAGCTCCGTCCGACTCAATCTGAGACCCCTCCTCCTACACATCCCGGGGTCTGCGGCCTGCCCCACCCCAGCCTGCCCCCGGCGGCCGCTCAGCTCCCAGAAGGCCGGGCGCCCACCTGCTCGGCCCTGTGCTCAGCCGGCTCCGCGCCGCCTCCTGCGCAGGCCACGCCCCCAAAGCAAGCCACGGCCCCACAGGCCGCGCCCCCACCCTGCAGGCCCCGCGCCCATTTCACCGCACTCCACTCCGGCCACGCAGCACGCGCTGTGTGCCGGGAATGCTGGGCCGACCGGGTACTGCGCTGACCTCCCTGACTTCAGAGCAGTGACACGGGGGCCGGGGCTCCTGCGGAAAAGCTGCTGCAACACTGGCCCACGTGGGGTGCCGCACCCAGCACTGGCGCAAGGCCATCGCCGGCACAGGAAGTCCCAGGGCAGAGACTCTTCCTCTCCCCCGGGGCCGCAAGGCATCACTTCTCATTCTGGTGGCATCTGAAGCAACCACGGACTCTTTGGTACCAGGTATTTAGGGCTGAGGTCAGGGCACCCTCCCTGGGTTGGGGCAGAGGAGAGAGAGGTGCGGAGACATCTCCCCACACAGCTTCAAGGCTAAGCGAGACCCTGGAAGGGCACTAGGTGAGTTCCCCCGAAGGCCTACTCCTCACACAGCCCCTTCCCCGCCCGGAAGCACACCGGGATAGGTGGATGACTCTGCCGGGGAGGAGTCCCAGACGCCTGATTCTATGCTGTGCAGACGCTTCTCGGCATCTTTACTGCAGCTAAAGGCACACACTAGTCTTGGGAGTAGCTGTAAGACCCCAAAGCCGGGACAAGGTGGGAAATACCAGGCCCATTCCCTCTTGCCCTGGCTGGATAAAGGATCTGATCCAAACCACTGCCCTTTCCTGCTTTCTCCCTGCCGGTGTCACCTCCCCACTTAAATCTCATCTCCCAGTACCATCCTATTGTAAGAAATCCACAGGATCCGGACTACCTTGAGGATTTCCAGACTCCACCCCACGTGTACACCTCTGCTCTTCACGTGTCCCTTTCTATCTCCATGCTGCAGAGCTAAAGGAAACAGAAGAGGCTGGGGGCCAGCCCACCTCCACTGTCCATTCCCCCTGCAGCCTCTCCAGCTGCACTTTGTGACACTTGTTGAAGTGACAAATCCACACCAAGGAGCAGACATGAGGCGCAATTTCCAGCCAAGAGGATTTTTCCAAAACAATGTACCGTATTCTCAGGAATATACACCAACCCTACCTCCCAGCCGGCCTTCTCCCACCTCCACCTCCCTCTTCTCCAAGACCTGAACATACTCAAAAGGAGAGAGGGGCTTACAGCTCCCTCCCCCAGCCAGAGGATTATCTTGCCTCCACATATCAGCCCCACCAAGTTTAGTCAACCTTAACTCACCCCTCTGTGCGCAGGGCCCAAGCTTCTGGGCCAAGGCCAGGCTGGGTGCCCTCAGAACCTCATTCCAGAGGGAGCTGCACCAGGCAACCCCGCACCCTCAGGTCAGCTGGGTCTGACATCACACTGGTCTGGGGAGGAGGCTGGCCAGGGACCAAGAAAGAAAAGGGAGTGATTCAGACACACGCCATGACTGTCCATACTCTCCATCTCCAGGACAGAGAGGCCCACTCCCTCCCACGGGAGTCTGGCAGCTGAGGTACTGAGGGCAGGCAAGGCTGTGTCTGCTGGCGGTGCTGGGCCTATGCCAGCCCTGAACCCCCATGTGTTTTTTGTTTTTTGGGATAGTGTCTCGCTCTGGCCCCAGACTGGAGTGCAGTGGTGCGATCTTGGCTCACTGCAACCTCTGCCTCCCAGGCTCAAGCAATCCTCCTGCCTCAGCCTCCTGAGTAGCTGGGATTACAGGCGTGCACACCACACCCAGCTAATTTTTGTATTTTCTGTAGAGAAGGGGTTTCGTCATGTTGCCCAGGTTGGTCTCAAACTCCTGGGCTCAAGCAATCTGCCAGTCTTGGTCTCTCAAAGTGCTGGGATTATAGGCAGGAGCCACCGCATCTGCCTCCCCCACCCAGCTTCTTAACTGTTGGTATTTCCTGTGACTTTCCTTATCTTCTCCACTGACACGCTGCTCCCTGGGGTCACCTCCTCTCCTCCAGGGGCTCCTATGACCACCATGTGCTGTCTCCATTCCTGAATTCCTGCGACTCCAGACCCACATCCCCAGGCTCTTATAGGGCAGCTCCGCCAGGAGGCCGCACAGGTACCACACACATTGCGTGTCCATGAGCTCGTCACCACCCCTACCCCCTTACACTCTGCTTCTGTGCTCCTGTATCCTGACTGAAAACATCACAAGCCAACATCAGCCACCCAAGGTAGAGGCCACACCCCACCACCGACCTCAACCAAGACTTCGACTCCTTCCTCTACCTTCTCCACCAGGCACACCACAGTCAGAGTGCTTCAGCCGCCTCAGAGTTCCTCCCGTCAGCAACACTGAGATCAGGAGTCAGGCAGATGGGGGCTGAAATCCTGACTCCGTCACATTCTAGTTGGGCAACTTTTGAGCAAATAACCTCTAAGCCTCAATTTTTTATCTGTAAAGTGGGGATAAACGGCGTCTCCTTCATAGAACTGTCACAAAGAGTGGTGGGAGATCATGAGGGGTACCCTCAGCACAGCACCTGGCTGCCTGTTACTGCTGTGTCAGCACAGACCTGCCATCCTTCCCCGGCTAGCACGCAGGCTCTCTGTAAGTCCTCATGGCACCCAATCCCCTGCTGGCACTCAGGCCCTGTGGGATCCACTCCTCACCAATTTCTCCACCTCTCTCTTAGCATTCCCTTCAAATGTCTCTATGTCCCAACCAGGCCAAGTGTTTGCCCTCCCCTAGACATAACGCTGGGTTTTTTCTTAAGAGACTGGGTCTTGCTCTGTTGCCAGGCTGGAGTGCAGTGGTGTGACCATGGCTTATTTTAACTTTGAACTCCTTGGCTTAAGTGACCCTCCCACCTCAGCTTCCTGGATGACAGGCACCAGTCACCATGTCCGGATGCCCTTTAATTTTAATGTCTGTGGCCAGGGGTGGTGGCTCATGCCTGTAATCCCAGCACTTTGGGGGGCCGAGGCAGGCCGATCCCCTGAGGTCAGGAGTTCAAGACCAGCCTGACCAACATGGTGAAACCCCGTCTCTACTAAAAAATACAAAAATTATCTGGGCATGGTGGTGGGCACCTGTAGTCCCAGCTACTTGAGGGCTGAGGCAGGAGAATCGTTTGAATCTGGGAGGTGGAGGTTGCAGTGAGCCGAGATCACACCACTGCACTCTAGCCTGGGCAGCACCAAGACTCTACCTCAAAAAAAAAAATTAATTATGGTTATCTCTGCTGTTTCATTGGAGGGGTGCTTGAAAACATGAGTAGGATAACTACATAGTAATACATGTGAAAAATAGCCAAAATAATTTTTAAAAATTTTAATGATCCATCATGTTCCTATCCTTAAAGGGTCACTATTCCTGTAACTCTTTGTATTAGCGTATAATTGGACTGAAGGAGCCCTCTGTACACACCTCTGCTGTGATCTGTGCATTGTAAGGTAACCATCTGTCTACATCCGTCACCCTGAAGGCAGAACCTGGCAGGAGCCTGGGCGGGTCTGCTGAGGACTCCGTCTTTGTGAGGAACCCTGGAGAAAGGTGGCCTGCTTCTTTCCCGAGAGCTGCTGTTACTTTCCCAGTGGGTGCCAGAAACAAGCCTGGTTGCTGTCCTCTAGCCCTGGCTTTGCCTCTCCCCCGATTTCTAACCCAGAGAAGCCAGCACCTTCCTGGGAAGAGGGGCTGTCAATATCACAACCACTCCAGCCCTAGACCTACTAAGCGACTTAGCCCCCACAAAGCCATCTCAGATCCAGAGACAACTCAGCCAGTCCCTTGGGCAGAGGGAGAGCCTGGCATTGGCCTTAAGAAAGGTGCCTTCTCACTGGACTCCTGCGGAGGCAGCGCTGGGGCACAGGGTGCCACACAAGGTGATGGAAAAGGGCCTGGTTCTGTCAGGATCCCAGCTCACCCAGAGAGGAGAGGGGAGCAGGAAAGTGCCAGGGTGGGAGGACAGAGCCCAGAAGCAGGGACAGACACACCAGCTAGGGCCCCTGCTATGCCTCATCTCCTGCAGCTCCAGTGGAGAAGGGCTGTCACTTTAGAGTGGAAGGGACAGGATCTGACTAAACAACATGACACAGCTCACACTGAACCTGAGGCTGACCAGACTTGGGGGCTGACATGTGGAGACAAGATCCCCCATCTGTATCAAGCCTTTAAAGTACTGTGAAGCTGCTTCATGCTTCACCAGCTGAAGATCGGAGTGTCAGCCGACACACAGAGACCACTTCCCTCCCCAGCGCCAACACCTGCAGCAGTATGTGGCAAAGGAGACATTCCAGCAGCTGATGGGTCTTACTCTCGTGCACACCACACATGCCCAAGCGCCCAGGCTGGGACACCAAGTGCTGCAGAGAGCTGCCTCCCGTTGCCTGTCCTGCCCATGCACTGTCACGGCACCCGGGCACAGAGGGAAGGGTGCAGTCTAGCTCCCAGCTGCTAGCCACTCCCAGGGAGAGCGCTTCCAGGGCTGGGCGGAGGCTGTCCAGCTGGTCGTCCTGCCCACTGCTAGCTCAGGCCTTACCCCACCCCGAAGCCCTAAGCAAGAGCACAGAGCTGAAGGGGCCTATTGTTGGCCTGGAGGTGGAGTGTGGAAAGAAAGATGCTGAGGAGATGCCAGAGCTATGAGCTGAACATTACT